TACTGGCCCTTCTTCTCCCGTTGCAGCCATGCCACAGGCCCAGCCCTTCCCAGGTTGCTGGGGCCAGCCCTGACTCCTACGGTGTGGGCTCTGCACTAGCCTCTGGGGTCTGCTACTCGGTCCTGCCTTCATTCTGAGACCCGGTCCCACCCGCTTCCCTGGTCCCTGCAACAAGCTCCCTGCCCAGGCCCACATGCTGGGACCTCTGCAGGACCCAGGTCCTCACCACCCCTGCCCCTTGTTCATGCCAAGCCCCCTCCCAGAATCCAGATTCCTTCTACTGAAGTTTCCTAACCCCACCACCATCCTGCCTGTCTGCCCACCTGAATTTCCAAATACCGCAGGCTGCTTCACCCCTCAGCATTCCCGTGACCTTGTGCCGGGGCCCCTGGTGTGCCACCTGCATGTCACCGCCACCACCACCACGCAATGCCCGTTGTCACAGGTGGCCCCTGGGACCCCATCCTACCCCAAGAAGCTGATGTGTTTTCCCCTTCCTCCTAGACCCTGCCTTCCTGGTCCAGTTCTAAGTCGGCCACGCCCGATCCTTCCCTACTGCCATACACACACGGCGTAAAGGATCGTGTCTGAATGTGCCCCAGGATGCTGGAGTCAGATCAGGGAGCACTCTCCACCCCTCGACAGAGTTTTCCCCTGGTTGGGGGCAGAAGGAGGCATTAGTACCTTGTGCACAGGGAATGAGAACCACTGGGGTGGTCAGGGCAGGTGGCCTTTCAGCTGCCAGCTCTGCTCTGGGGCACTCTAGACCCTCCCAGCCGGGCAGAGAAAGCCCCATCCTTGAGTCATGCAACCCAGTCCCGCCTTCTTTCTAACACTCCTGTAGGCAATGTGGAAAAGCCGAGAAATCACAAGCTTTGAGTCAGACAGACCTGGGCCCCAGTCCAGACTCTGCCCCTGACGAGTCCTGAGCCTGGACAACTCCCTTGACCTCTCTGAGCTATTCTAGAGAACTGGAGAGAGTAGCACGGAGTTGTCATGAGAAGTAAGCAGAATGATAGGAACTGCTTGGTGAGGGCCCCGCAAACGGTGGGCAGCCCCCCACCCCTGCCATCTTGGCAGAGATGGGCTTCCTCACGCCTCCACCCCACCCCAGACATGTTGCTGCAAAGGCCTCCTCTGCTTTGAAACTTACCTGCCCTGTATTCAGCCCCCTGGGGTGAGTCTCTCCTCCGCCCCTATCAAGCTGATAACTTGCTGATGTAGTAAATCAACGTTGGGGGAGCTCTAATCCCTGGGCCTCACCCACCCCCTTCCAGGTGACGGCTGCCCCACCACAGTGACCCACCAGGGACAAAGTATGGAGGGTGTTGGCCAAATGAAGGAGTGATTCTTGAAGGGAGAATGCCAGGCCAGGCAGAGGTGTCCCGCAGCCACCATGACTTCCTCTGGCTGGTCTGCCTGCCCCCAGGCTCTCCGCTACCCAGATTGGGCACTTTCTCTACTGGAAAACCTTTCTCCTGCTATGCCTGGCTTGGGGTTCAGGCAGCCTCCCAGAGATGCGGAGGGAGGTGGAGGAAGGATGTCTGGGCTCCTCTGCCCTGAACCTTGCCCGCACTTCCTTCTTTGGGGACTGTGCTCCTGCAGGTCCCCACTTGAATTTCCCCTTCCTTTCGATTTACCTCTGTGCACATCCTAGTCAGCCTGCAAGGCCAGGGAAAATGCCACCTCCTTGACTGATTCCTTGATTCCACCCTCAGCCTGGAGTAACTCTCCCTCTGCAGAAACTTCTCCTGACACTTGCTCTCTGGCCTTGCCCTGGAGGGAGGTGTGCCCTCGAAACCTGTGCCCTGTGACTCTGGGGGTTCCAGTTCCCCAAAGACAGAGATGAGCAGATACTAAGCAAACAAATAATTCCAGCCCAGGTCCCTTGGTTGGGTCAGAGCTGTCATAAAATTTGTCTAAAAATATTTCAGACACAGCCCAGTTCCCAGCACTGCCAGCCACTGGGAAGAGGAGGTGCTTCGCAGCACCCTACCCACAGGGGTGAAGATTGCTCACGCTGCCCCGCATCTGCCCTGTGTCTACAGCCTACCAGGTGTGTTGCTCCAGGAACTCCCCACATCTGTGCTGCCGCCAAGAGGAAGTGAGAGGAGGCTCCGTCCCTCCCCGCGGCTTCCCTCCTAAAGCCTCCCAGCCTCAGAGCAGAGTTCTTCCTCTAACACCTAATGTCGTCCACCACGGGCTCTCTCTGCCTCTGGCCCATGCTGTGCCCTCTGCCAGGCACATCCATCTCAAGCACTATTTGCATCCCGCCATTTCCCAGCTCACGAGCCATCCGTGGCTCCCAACTGCCAACAGAGTTAAGTCCAAACTCACCTTGGAATTCAAAGATTCAAAAATTCAAAGATTCAGGACTTCCCTGGTGGCGTAGTGGTTAAAAATCCGCCTGCCAATGCAGGGGACACGGGTTCGAGCCCTGGTCCGGGAGGATCCCACATGGCACAGAGCAACTAAGCCCGTGCACCGCAACTACTGAGCCTGCACTCTAGAGCCCGTGCTCCGCAACAAGAGAAGCCACCGCAATGAGAAGCCCGTGCACCGCAAAGAAGAGTAGCCCCCGCTCACCACAACTAGAGAAAGCCCACGCGCAGCAACGAAGACCCAACGCAGCCAAATATAAATAAATAAATTAAATAAATTAAAAAAAAAAAGAATTCAAAGATTCAAGATTAAAAGATTCAAGAACTTTCATGAGGCAACCTATATCTCTGGCCCATCCCTCTTCCCATCCTTGCCCCATCCCTGAAACACACACACAGGTACATATTCACATACATGTATACAGACATACACATTTACACATATGCACACTTATACACACACACATATATACACACATACATACACACAAATACACACTTACACATAAATGCACACATATATACACACTTACATGACCCAAACTAATTTGTCGTTTAACCTGTATTTGCTTTGAGCATTACATTCATTCACTCATTCATTCACTCATTCATTCATTCATTCATCCATTCACATTCCCTTGGTGCCAGGTCCACATTAAAGCTGGGATGCAAATGTGAAGAGCACAGTTGTCTTACTTCTCCTAGAAGTACTTACTATTCAGCCAGCTTTCTAATAGCTTTTATTTAATTCTGACTACTTTAAATTTAAATAGTAGCAACCATATAGGACAGTGCAGTTCTACTGTAAAACCTTCTGGCCCTTGGGTCCCACAAAATTGGTGGCAAGTAGACTTGGGTTTGAATCCTTAGCTGTGTGACCCTGATTGGGTTGCTAAACCTCTCTGAGCCTCAGCTTTTTTTTTTTTTTTTTTTTTTTTGCGGCCTCTCACTGTTGTGGCCTCTCCCATTGCGGAGCACAGGCTCCGGACGCACAGGCTCAGCAGCCATGGCTCATGGGCCCAGCTGCTCCGCGGCACATGGGATCTTCCCGGACCAGGGCACGAACCCGTGTCCCCTGCATCGGCAGGTGGACTCTCAACCACTACGCCACCAGGGAAGCCCCTGAGCCTCAGCTTTATCAGTTACATCATGAACACGTTGTAACACATAAATGCAAAGATGAAATGAGCAAATGTATGCCTGGAGCCTAGAAAATGCTTAGAAAATATGTTGAATCTGAGTTTTTGTCTCTAGAAATTAAATAATTATTTGGATCATGATCCCTATCCTACTATTAACCTCAAAGATGAAATGAGCAAATGTATGCCTGGAGCCTAGAAAATGCTTAGAAAATATGTTGAATCTGAGTTTTTGTCTCTAGAAATTAAATAATTATTTGGATCATGATCCCTATCCTACTATTAACCTTGTCAATATTTTTGAAGTCTTTTGAATATATTCAGTTGGCCTGAAATAATATAGAAATCCTGCCTCCTTCGATGTTTCAAGGACAGCAGGGGAGACAGGTTCTGGAAGTTTTCTGAGCTCCTTTTGAGCTGGGAGTGTGTCCGTGTTTTTACTTAAGTCCCCTGTAACATAATGCTCTATGTATGTTTGCTGATAGAATCATTGTACTCACTGATAACAATACTCAGAATTCAGTCCAATAAATATTTAATGCATGCACTCTGGCTAGACACTATGGGAAACACAAAGCAAACCACAACAGTTCCTAACCTTGGAAACTTAATCTAACAGCGGAGGCAACATGTTTGCTTGTGATCGTGTTGCCCTCTGACTCTGGGTGTGAAGCCCTTGGGATGGGGCCGTTCTGGTCAGGCTAAGTGCCTCTGCCCAGGCAGTGAGAGATGAGGGGGGCCAAAAGCCTGGTTTGGGGCGTAAGGTTGTCTTGAGCCACCTACTTCGTGGTCAGGAATCTCCTTCTGATATTAAACCAGCAGAAACACCCGGAGCACAAGGCATTGAAGACCACAGGGCAGAACTCAAGCTAATCTGCCATGGCCACCTCTCCAGTGACCAGCTTTTGTTCCAGATTACTGCATCTCAGGTCACACAGTGGTCTGACTCTGACAAGGAACGCAGCAGCCAGGCCCCAGGGGAAGGGCCAGGGGAGGAGTCTCCAGGTGCGGAAAAGCACGATCCCCTGGGCCTCTTCCCAGGCAGGACTTCGGCTGAACTCTGCCCTCTGTTCCTTTCCTGATCCTGCCCCCAACCCCACCTGCCCTTCCATTTGCACCTCCCAGGAGGATGTGGATGGCAAAATCCGGCTTCATTTTTAATTAATTAATTTATTTATTCATTTATTTATTTTTGGCTGCGTGGGCTCTGTAGTCTGCAGCATGCGGGCTTAGTTGCCCCGCAGCATGTGGGATCTCAGTTCCCCAACCAGGGATCGAACCCGCCTCCCAGGCGTTGGAAGGCAGATTCTTAACCACTGGACCATCAGGAAAGTCCCCTGACTTCATGTTTAAAGTGTACCCTACCACACATATTCTCTCTCTCTCTCTCTCTCTCTCTCTCTCTCTCTCTCTCTCTCTCTCTCTCTCTCTCTCTCTGTCTCTCAGCTGTGTAATTGAATGTCTCTCTTACCCTGAGGACTCAGTGAACAATTGTTTCATTTTCCTATCAGCACAATTACAAATCTTTTCATGCCCTTTAACCCATCTGGCTGTCAAGATCTACAAGAAAAACGGATTAACACCAGAAATGGATCCTTGCTTATTTATTTATTTATCCCCCGCCTTGTTCCAGGTAGGATTTTACGTGGCTTGCCCAGAGTGACAATACAGCCAGATAGCATCAGCCCTGAATTCCGCAGCAGGGCATACAAAGTCCTTTGTGAGCTGCCCCTACCTGTCTCCCCAGCACCATCCCCTGCTCCCGCGCCACGTGAACATACATTCTGGCAACACCGCACTACCTTTAGTTACCAGAATTTTTCACTGCGTTTTCTCTCATGTTTTTGAGGCTTTTTATATGCTGTCCCCTCTGCCTGAAATGCCCCTTCTTAGTCAGTTCTACTCCTCTTTAAGCTGGGGTCCAAGCATCATGTGCTCCCTGATCACCCAGGCCAACTTATACACTCTGCTCTATGCTCACCCGTCACTTAAACGCGTACGGTTCCCCTCTAAACCGATGTTCCGTGAAGATAGGGGCCTCCTCTTTCCAGCGACATATCCTCATGCTTAAGACAGTACTAGACACATGGTAGGTGCCAGATAAATATTCCTTGGTTGAATGAATGAAATCTGGCATCATCTTTCTGCACTGGCTGTGTCCGTGTCATCAGAGCAAGGTGCTGGGGGAGCCTGTGAGGGGTGCTTCCGGCGATGTGGTGATGGCTGTTCTGTCACATCTGTTTCTAGGAACGCCGTGGAGGCAGCCTGGACATAAACGACGGGCACTGTGGCATGGGCAACAGCAGCGAAATGAATGCCGCCCTCATGCAACGGAGACACACAGACCCCGTGCAACTCCAAGCAGCCGGGGTATGTGAACTTCCCTCTCTGGGCTCAGTGGAGGAGGCCAAGGGGCCAAGTAGAGAAACGGTTGGTCCTCCACGAGAGACCAGGAGAGACCAGTCTCTCTCCACGAGAGACTGTGTGTCAAACTGCACACAGAGGTGGTGGGAACTTAGCGAGTGATGGTGGGGCAGGAGTTCCCCGTAGAGCTGATCCCAGCCTGCTGTTATCAGTTTGGCTGTCGGGCCTTGCCCGATCCTCATATTTCCTGACTGCAATTCTAGCAGAGGGAGATCCGTTGCGCTGGCATCGAGGGCTGTTAGTCTGGGCACACTGCGTTCTGTTTGTCAGTCGAAGAAAATAAAAAGAACACCTATTCATGTAGAGAGAGTAGTTCTCAAGGATCCTCTTGGAGCCTTGGAGAATAACATCTCAGTTGCTCAGAGCTGTGCATCCGGGTCTGCTTTCAGTTGCAGTGGGGTTTGAAATGTCTCTGGAGAGCCATCCGTCAGCCTTCAGGGCAGGCAGCTCACAGAGAGCTTTGTCTTGGTACCAGGGCCCGCAGATCCTCTTCCGTGTGCCCGTGGCTCAGAAAGCAGCTCGGCCGGCCCCAGCTCAGCAGGACCTCTCTGTGTTTTCCCCCAGCAGCGAGTGCGGTGGGCCCGGGCGCTGTACGACTTTGAGGCTCTCGAAGATGATGAGCTGGGATTCCACTGCGGAGAGGTGGTTGAGGTCCTGGACAGCTCCAACCCATCCTGGTGGACTGGCCGCCTGCACAACAAGCTGGGCCTCTTCCCTGCCAACTACGTGGCACCCATGATCCGGTGAGGCCCTTCTGGAGGGGTCGGAAGCTTTTGTCTGAAGCTGCCTGCAAGTGATGGAACAAGGAAGAAAATCTGGAACTACACATACATATATATATGTGTGTATATATACATATGCACACACATATATATGCCTATGTATCCACACATTTATAATAGTAATTTATTGGCAAGTTAGTTGGTTACTTAGTTGATATGAAAGGAGCTCAGGTGGACAATTCTATTCATACTTATCTTTCTGCTCCCCTCAGCGGGTGTGCAGAAGGCAGTGGGGGCGCTGGGAAGTGGGAGGCAGGGAAATGACACCGACATGCCTCCTGCCCTTAAGCCGGCACTGCTCCCTCCTCGTCTTGGGAATTCTGACTGAGAGGACCTAAGCGGGATCCACACCTGGTGTTGGACGCAGAAAAGCAGGGTGGGGTTGGACTTGGCGGGGCATGTCCTCCTTTACCTGCATGTCCGGCTCCCCGCCCCCTCCGAGGGTGTGCGGGGCTGCTGCCCCCCTCTCCCCACGGGGTGGGCACTGCTGGGCGGAGGACGAAGGTGCCGCTCTGAGCTGGGAGCGGGAGGGGATGGGAGGGGAGGGCTGGAGCAGGGGGTGTCCCGGGGCCTGGGCAAGACTAGTCCCCTGGCGGATGCTCACCTGAGACCTTCCTCTCCCTCAAGCGAACGTTCCCCAACGAATTCTCTTCCCTGTGGCTGCGATGGAGAAATGGAGGCCCTGTGAGAACCGAGCACTGGGAAACGGAGCGGTTTTTCACAAATCCCCCACTGGCTTACTTGAGTGTAACATCTGTTTCCCCAGCAACCAAGAAAGCAGCATCCTAGACTCTGTAAAGCGCCCGGAGAAGCCCCGGCTGAGAATGGCAGATTTCAGAGCCACTGTTTTATGGTTACAGGGGTGTCTCTTCAGGGCTCTATTTGTTCTCCCTCTTGGTTTCCTGTGTTTTGAAGATGCTTTGCCCAGCAACACAGAGAGAAGCCCACTCCTCAAGAGCACTGGTTGATTGACTGATTGGCCATGACCCTGGGTGGCAGCTGGCTTGGAGAGAGCTTCCTGTTCCCTCCAACTGTTGGGCCACCGCTGGCGCCTCCCCGCCCCACAAGCTGCACCTGGGAAGGAACCCCACGGCCACTGTCTCTCCTTCACCTCAAAATAGACTCGTGTCTCCCAGGGCTCAGCCTGGGCGCGTGAAGCGCAGATCAGCCTGGCTGGGGAGCAGGGACACTGGAGAAGGAAGCTCAGTGTCGTAGGGGAGCCAGAACAAACGTGTCCGCCCGGAGGGCGTCTAGGAGGAGTGGTGGGCGGGTATACGGAGACCAGAAGGAAAGGGCTCAGGCGGAAGTGCTGGTGAAGGAGCTCCGGGGTGGGTGGGGACCTGTTGCTTCCTCTTCTTCCCAGCCCTTCCTGCTCTGAGGAGGGACGGGGCAGCCATCACCCAAGGTGACGTAGGAAGAACGGGTTTCTGACTCAGAAGTAACTGTCAGTGTAACGTAGGCTATGGCCTGTTGACTCTGAGATCTGCCATTCTCTGATCCCCATGTCGCCTTTAGAGAAAAAGAGAAAAAGAAAAGACTCTGTGGTGGGTCTTGGGAGGGAAGAGAAAATAGCCTGAGAGGCAGGGGGAGTCCAGCGAGTGAGGAGGGGTCTCTGGAAGTGAAAGCGCAGGAGGTAGAAGGGAACGGAGACATTTCAAAAGATCCAGGAGCAGCGTGAGAGGCCGAAGGGAGGAAGAGGGACAGGAGGTGAAGTGGGACAGGTGAGGAAGACACTGGAGTGACAAGCTGGGGGCAGATGAGGCACGGGCAGGAGGGACAGAGGCTGGTGGGCAGGACGAACCTGGACGGAGGAGACACTGCAGGAACCAAGGCAAAAGAACAAAGGCCAAGGAGCCCGGATAAGCTGTTTCGGTGCTGGGTGATGTGAACAGGTTACAGTAAATAAAAGCCAAAGTAATGTTTGATTTTACAGTACTTACAAACCATATGCTTTCAGCGGTCCACGAAGTTGGTCCATTTGTCTGATTCTGTGGGAGGATCAGCCCCAGGGAAGACAGAGGGAAACGACTGGGTTCTGGCCTGGGTTTTGTGCCTTGAAACACTCCTCAAGAAAGCAGTAATAAAACAAGTGCCTTTGTTTTGCTGGGCTGGGTCTGGTGTCTGTGTCACACGCCTCTCTGGCGGAGGGTGGGGGTCACTGGCCTGGAGAAGCTGACCACGCAGTGTGGGCAAAGCTCTCAGAACCCCTGGATCTGGACTTTCTGTTCCACCAGAGCTTTTAATTGAGGTGCTCAAACAGCCTCGTCCCTGCTCATCTTGAGGCTCAATCCAGAAGGAATTGAGAGTCATCCTAACCACCCGCAGAGAACAAGGGCCCTCGGGGACCAGGCTAAGAGGACAAGGGCCGCGCTGTCCACACTGTCGGGGGAGGGGAGGCTGACCCTCCTTGGCCTCTGGTGCTGCCCAGGAGAAGTTGCCCTCCACCCAAGGGGATTTCAGCACCAGGGGCGGGTCCCCCCAGGGCCTCTCACCAACCACACAACCAGGAAACAACACATTGTCTCTGAATTCGGTTGAATGATTCACTCTGCGTGACTTGGGGGCCACCTGGAACTTCCAGAGAAAACCTGGTTCCTGTTGGACCATTTCGGTCTCCCTAACCGCTTGCTGAGGCTCGCAGCGTTTCAAATATCTTGTACCTGCCACTGCCCACCCACTTTTAGATGGCCCTAGGGTGACCTGAGGCAGCGCTTTTCTCAAAATGAACCTGCCTATGAATTGCCTGGGGAGTGTGTTCAAATGCGGAGTCTGGCTCAGTCCTGCAAGTCTGTCAAGCTCTGAGGCGATGTTGCTGGGTCCACAGACCACACTTGAGTAGCAAGGGCAAAGAACTTGGCAGTGAGCTAACTGTCTACGAAAATCTAATTGAATCTCTCTTCTAGGGATATTTAGGCGTTTTTCTCTGTTGCTAACAAGTAAGTCACTTTGGCCGTGGGATAGACAGGCATGATTCAGAGCTGTCATAACATCATTTGCGTCTGGCAGCCCAGACTTCTTATTTTAGCATCTTCATCTCCATCTCAAATCAAGAAACTTTAGGGCAAGAGGCATTCGGATGAAATACAGACAGGGATTTCCTAACAGTAATTATTGTAAACACGAGCAGAGGTTACAGAAGTGGTGAAAGCTTTCTCAGGAAATCCTTAAACTCCCATCAGCTGTGATCCTGCTTGGAGGCTATCCGGGGGGATAGCCCTGTGACGTCATCAGATCTCGGGTAACTTAAAGCAAAACAGGCCACGTGTGGGACAGACTGGCGTGGTCAAAATATTTGCTGTTTGCTTTGTCTAAAGTTGGCCTGTCTATACCAAGGCAAGAACCTAAGAAAAACCGGTCATCTCAATTATTCTCTTAAATACTCCTTAGACTCCTCCATTTCTTTCTATAACCACAGCCATGCCACCATCATCTCTCCCTTAGGCAGCTGAATTCACCTCCACCCTTTTCTCCCTGCACGCCCTCTTGTCCCCAATTCATTCTCCACACATTCTCCAATGTGAATCTGAAGGCACCACTCCCCTGCCCACTGCACTTAGGTTTAAATCCAAAGTCCTAATGTGGCCCTGTGAGGTGTGGCCCCTCCCTCCCTCCCCAGCCTCCTCTGGTTCCTCTCTCCTCCTTGCTTTCATGCCCCTGACCCACTGGCCTTCTTTCAGTCTCCAGATGACAAAGGATTTGTCCCCATAACTTTCACACCTGCTGTTCCCTCTACCTGGAATGCACATCCCTGCTCTTCACCTGGCTCACTCCTATACATCTCCAGGTCTTGGTTTAAATATCACTTTCTCAGATTGTCCTTTCCTGACCTCTAATCTAAAATAATCCTTCCCAGGATTTCCCTGGTGGTCCAGTGGCTAGGACTCTGTGCTTTCACTGCCGAGGGCCTGGGTTCAATCCCTGGTCGGGGAACTAAGATTCCCCAAACCACGTGCTGTAGCCAAAAAATAATAATATTAATCCTTCCCGTTAGACTATCTCGTGGTTCCCAGTACTTTTCCTGAATAGCACATATACAGATGATGGTGCCAGACTGATTACTATGACTATTAGATGGTAAGCCCCCTGGTGACAGCATTGTCTCTGTTTTGTAAACCATTGTACACCCAGCATCTAGCACGATTCATGGCACACCCAGGTTTGATAAATATTTGTTTAATGAATGAACAAGTGAGAACTGCCTCATCTTACTTATCATTCATTCTGTAACCCAAATGTCCCAGGCCTTACAGACCCATAGGTACAAACAAGGTGATATTAACATTGATGCCCAAGTTATAGTAGCTCTTAGCCATCTGCCCTCAAAATCTCCAGTTACTTCCGGAAGCCCAAGAGACAGAGGCTGGTGTCTCTCATGTGTTTAAGCACCAGTCTGCTTGTGTCTCCTTCTCTGGCCACGTTCGATTGCCCAGGACACCCTCTGCTGACAGCGTCTCCCCTGATGCTGCCGATGCACTGCGCATTGCATCTGTCTGCTGGTGAAATGGGCCAATCCTTCAGGAAACCGAATCTGCTCCACAGTCCTTGTGGCAAGCGGTGTGGGGGGAGAAGAGCCTGTGCCCAACTCTGAGTAGCTCTTGTCCCTGGGCCCCAGAGAGGCACTGCTTGGGTCCAGGGTCCCTCACAGCTTGTCCCCTTCTCACCGGAGCCCTCTCTGCATCAGACGGGATAGGGATGCCACCTGCCCCGTCATCTCTCTTTTCTGTCTCTCTCCCTATTGCCCCTTTTTCTTTCAGCTGAAAAGAATGCCCCTGTACCTCTTCAATTGTGCAATAGGGTCCCAGGGAATGTGCACCCAAGTTGTACAGTCTGGGCTTGGTTATAATTCATTCATTAAATCAACAAATACTTACAAAGCACGCCTAGGGGCCACACACAGTCAGCCATTGGGCCCTTTCCATCTGTCGATGCTGCCCTGTCTCTGCACCTGTGCCACAGTCATTGTCCCATTTAAAACTTCCCTCTCTTCCCTCCCAGGTGATTGCCATGGTCTCAGAACTGGCCTCCCTGCCTCCTGGCTGGTCCCCTCGATCCAGACTGCCAAAGAGAGCTTATTAATATGCAAAGCTGATGACATCAGGCTTCTGTTAAAGCCTTCAGGGCCTCCCCAAGGCTTTCAGGCTAGAGTTTAACCTCCTTAGCTTCACACTAAAGACATTTTGTGATCTGACTGCTGCCTGTTTGTTCAGCCGAAATTTCCATCTCTCCCCAGAATGAGTCACGTTGTCTCAGACCTCTGAGTCTTCCCACCCTGTTCCTTCTGCCTGGAGTGTCTTTCTCCCAGTTTTTGTCTAGACCAGTGCTGTCCAATAGGACTTTCTGCAACGATGATGGAAAAGTCTCTGTTTGCTCTGTCCAATGTGGTGGCCTCTGGCCACACGTGCAGTGTGTCTAGTGCAAGTGAGTTACACAGCCAGAAGTGGCTCCCTTATTGGGCAGTATGGATCCAGACAACTGCTAATCCCTTTACAGTACTTAGCTCAGGGCTCCAGTTCTGTGCCGGGAAGCCACGCCAAATTCATGGCTGATGTAGATGCCCCTCCTCCGTGTCCTGTAGCATCCTTGTTCTGTTTCTATCCCCATACTCAGAACTTCTCTATAGTCAGTGATGCATCAACCTGCCTCCCCCACTGGACTGAACATTTCTGAGGGCAAGGGCAAACAGTTCACCCAATGAATGGTTGATACATGAATGCACAAGTGCACTGGTAAAGGTTTAACTAGCTCAGAGGAAAAGCCCTGATTTGCTGTATTTGCCAATTCTGTGATGTAAGTATTCCTATTATGTGTCCAGAGAATAAGACAAGGCACAGAAAGAGAGAAAATATTTGCAAAAGTCATATCTGATAGATGTGTTATTTAAGACTATTATCCAAAAGAAACAAAGAATTCTTAAAATACAACAGTAAAAAATGAACAACCCAATTCAAAAATGGGCAAAAGACTTGAACAGACACCTCACTGAAGACGATAATGAGATCACAAGCAAGTAAATGAACAGAGGGTCAACATCATATATCATTAGGGAAATGCAAATTAAAACAATGAGATACCACTACACACCTCTTAGAACATCCTAGATCCTAAACGCCGACAGCACCAAATACTGGCAAGGATGTGGAGCCACAGGGACTCTCACTCACTACGGGTGGGAATGACATCGAATGGTGCAGCCACGTTGAAAGACAGCTTGGCAGGTCCTCACAAAACTAAACCTCGTCCTAACACATGATCCAGCAGTCATGCTCCTTGGCATTTACCCAAAGGGCTGAATACTTACGTCCACACAAAAACCTGCACGTGAATGTTTACGGCAACTTTACTCGTCATTGCCAACACTTGAAAGCAACCAAGATGTGCTTCAGTAAGTGAATGGATAAATAAACTGCGGGACACCCAGACAATGAGATATTATTCAGCGCTAAAAATAAATGAGCTATCAAGCCATGAAAAGACATGAAGGAAACTTAAACGCGTATTACTAAATGAAAGAAACCAATCTGAAAAGGCTACATACTGTATGATTCCAACTATATGACATTCCAGAAAAGGCAAAATTATAGAGACAGTGAAAAGATGAAAGGTTACCAAGGGTGACTGGGGAGAAGAATAGGTGAAACAGGGGAGTTTTAGAGCTTCACAGTGAAACTAATCTCTGTGATTTTATAATGGTGGCTACATGTCATTATACATTTGTCAAAACCCACAACAAGAGTGAACCCTGACATAAACTATGGACTTTGGGTGATAGTGATGTATCAGTATAGGTTCATCAGCTGGGACAAATGGACCACTGTGGTGGGGGTCATTGAAAATGGGGGAGGCTATGCATGTGTGGGGGTGGGGAGGATAAGAAAAATCTCTATTTTCTGCTCTAAAATCTACTCTTTAAACTGCTCAGAAATCAAGTCTATTTTTTAAAAAACCCCACCATGGCTGACTTCAAGCTACCAACATGACATCACTGAACTCAGAGTGGGGAAGAGATGTGCAGGACTGGCTCTCACAAATCCAATCCAGTGGTGGTAGGAGCCTGCTCCGGCACACCACTGCATGCATAAAGGAAAGAATGAATGAAGTGTGCTAGACG